GTCTGGCGATTCTTTCTTCTAATACTAGTCATACTTATCAGTAACGGGATCGAGACCTGGTGTTTGTTYTCATCAAAAAGGGGAATCCGAATGTGTCAACGAAGTCATTTCATTTTAGCTTTCTTTCCTTTACAGAATTCCCAAATATAAATAAAAACAAACTTCCTTTACTCTTCACAGCTTATGAATAACCTTTTTTGTAACTTTATGTCTAACATTTCTAAATATTTTTTATTTCATTTTATTTAAAACTTCGTTGACAATTTTTCATTGTTTTAATCGCAAGGTAGGGATTTAGTTCGAACTTCTTGTCGCCAAGATAAAGATTTATCGTCATACTCGAGTCTACTGATTGGTATTAAGTTTTATAATCTACTAAACTAGATTTAGTTGATCTAGACGACATGGCCTAAGATTGACCGATGATCTTATTAGGAATATACTTCTGTAACTTTTTGAAACTTTCAGAATTCTAAGAAATTAATAAAATAAAAATAAAAACAAACTTCCTTTACTTTTCACAGCTTATGAATAACCTTTTTTGTAACTTTATGTCTAACATTTCTAAATATTTTTTATTTTATTTTATTTATTCGAGCGGTCATAGCGTTGGTCTCGCAATCCGGTGATGCCGAGTTCAAGTCCCGCTGTGGCCAATAGCTGTGACTGTATTTGTCCTGGTTTCTGATTAGTTCAAATTCAGTTTCTCGAACATGCTTGTAAATGGCAATAGCATGATGATGCAATACTATTGATTACCGGCCCTTTATTTAAGTGGTCCTTGTTCGTTATATTTAGTATATTTAGTAATTGGTAGTAATGTTATGAGAGAGAAAATGTTCTGTTTTTACAGACCAACTAAGCAAGACATAAGTCACCAAATTAGCACTACGTATCTCAAAAAGCAAGATAAAAACTATTAATTGTCAGTCCATTAGCTATAAAAATATCGATATAACATTTCATGCAGCACGGTTACCATCACGTACAAGTTTAGATATTGGTATGCATTGAATTTACAAGTAAACCTCTTAGTTCCCCCCATTAGCATTTGTATACCACATTAAATGATTAGAGATTGACATCTGTCATGGAATCCCTAAAAATATAGCTCATGTAATCAGCCTATATCAGAGTAGAGTTGAAGCCATAAAGATTTCGTTGCAACACTGCTAACAGTACAGTAGTATAGTGTGGTCCCGAAGAGATGAGGGGGGATGAAACGGTAGAAATTGAGTTGTAACCTGAACATGCTCGTAGCAAGTTGCTAGGAACATATATGTTGCTAGGAACATATTCTCTGGGATGTTTGCACTCAAAAATCGCTCAAATAAAGTACTTTCCACATTCACAGCCCCAAAACTTACCCCCTCCCACTAATTTTGTCGTGGAAATTTATTCGGAGAAAATTACTAAAGACATTAATTTACTTTTACTTCCTTGAATTCTTGGAAATCGTGTTGATATGCGCGCATGCGTATTATGACTAAGTTTTGGACAGGTGTAAATGATCTACAAGCCTTCGAACTATAGAGTCTGAAAGGTTGATCCAGTTGGAGTTATTCGAGAGGTAAGAAATCCTGGTCAAATCTCCTTTAAATCTTTTAGAAAGACAAAATTAGCACTTTTTGATCGCTAATGGCCCAGGTCTAAACTTATCATCTAGTGCTAATGCAGCCTGTGTATAAATTTGGATGAAAAGTCTAGGGCAGAAAAAAGTTATGACGCAGCTTGAAAATACGATCCAAAATGTGAAGCATATGAAACATCACGCTGTAGAAACATTACCATTGAATGGATTGCCTTGAAGTTTTCATATATCTATTTCCAAGTATTGTGGATGAGTCTTACGAAAAATCAGCATCAAATCTTAAAAACTCATCGAATGTTTTTTACTAATTTTCGTTGTAAACCTCAAAAATGAGAGTTTTGCTAATTATCACATTTTCGCCTTTTTCTTCAAAACGGTTTAAAAGTTTTTTATTCAATTTCCCTACATCAATAGACCAGAGTTTTATCAAGATGGCATTATTGTTGTATTACAAATTAAGTTCTTATAAGTATGAATTGCCTTGTTTTCGGAGCGAGCGCATCGTAGGCATCAAGTATGGCTCAAGCGAGTAGTTTCCTGAGTTTCCTCATGGTTAGAATGCGATAATCGGTTTATTACTGCGAGTCTGCAGGTTTGTCGTGGACTCTGAGGGACTAATTATTTATTTTCTTTTAAGTTAAGTTGCGTTGCTCTGTTGTGGTTGGTTTATTGCTACAAATTTATCATGTGAACAAGTTTTTCCTATGAACTCTGATGGACTAATTATCTATTTTATTTTTTAAGTTCTTGTAAGTATTACAACTTACTTCCAAGTTATTTAATGACGCACGTAAACCTGATCACAAACTAAACAAGCTTTTACCAAAAGAATTTGCGTGCTCGTATAATTTACGAAGAACACGATCATTTACCAATCCTAAGACTTTAACAAAAAGAACTCAGTTAAGCTTTATAAACTTTAACGCATAGTAAACATAGATTTTAAAGTATAGATATCTTTCTTATAATTTTAAATTCCTATTTTGGATTGAATTTATAGTCATCAATAGTCTTATAAATCTGTGGAACATTCCGGCAATTCTACTTTTCACTTAATTATAAAATGACGGTCGTTGAATTCGGGCTCTTTTCCCAGTTTTAACATTTCTGGCAAATGATGCAATATAGAAAAGCCTACCCTTTTTCATTATGCGACTCTATTTACAGGTACCCTTTTTCCTAAAAAAATACGGGAAAATCTGTTATTCTTTTTAAAATGTTAGTGAAATTGAAAACGCCTGCATTTTTCGTCGTTTGTTTAGCTCAACACAAGGTCTCGTTTTTAAGGCCCCTGCTGTTTTTTTAGGCGTGGGAACTGCCATCTCTTATTGGTTAATATAACTTGAACTACACTATTTCTCCAAATGATGTGGCGCGACATCATACAAAATTTTGTAGAAAAAATCTAGATGACCCGAACTAACTTTGAATGCATTTCCTCACTTTTAAAACACTTCCTTTCAATTTCTCAACTTTATTACTTCGTTGGCACATTCAGATTCCCTTGATTCCGTGGATACGCGAAGCGTAGAAAAGAGTTGTGAGGGGTCTGAAAATGCAAATTTGTCACTCGCTTACTCGCTCACTAAGATGTTCGAGACAACTAACGAGAATTCGCTCCAATAAATAATCGGTAATTTACAGACTTGAATGAAGTCAAATGCAATAGTATTTCTAACTAAATTTCTTTAAAATATTCATTTAGTTGACAGTGTAAATAAAGTGTTTCATGTGAAAACGAGTGTTACTAAAACGAGTAATGGAGTAACCAGTAACGAGTAAATCGAGTAACCAGAAAACGAGTAACGTGAAAGTTTTTATACATTGAAAATGTGATTACGACTTATGATCATAAAAACATTTGCTAAAATTCCTTACGAACCCAGGATCCGGGAGATCCAAAGGGAATATTTCGTGCGGCCGTTGAGGCACTTCCGGTTTTAATCATTGTACACTGAATTGGTCGAGAATTCTTCCATGATTTTTTCTCAAGGTTTACTGTTATGTTGCCTATGGCTGTAACTCTATCTAGCCTGACATTTTAGCCATACCGGTAGCGAGAATTGAACGAGAAAATATTTAACCTGATAATCCAATATGAAAACATTAAATGACCGGTACCCGGTCATTCAGACATTTTCATATGAAAACAGTAAATAACCTATTTTGTATATTCTAATACTTCATAAATAATGCACAACAGTTCAAAACTGTGTGAAAATGGGCCAAAATCGATGAAAACTATATGGCCTAGTTTAAAATCTTCATAAATAATGCATAATGTTTGCATAGGTGTGAAAATTACACTACGCCAAAATCGATTTTTTTCTATCTCAGCGATCATAGTGATCGTGGCGATCATTTGGAAACAGCGCGGTCGCTCGATCGCTCCGATCACCGAAACACGTTTTGGGCGATCCTGGCGATTCTTTCTTCTAATCTTGATTTTTCATTGTTTTAATCGCAAGGTAGTAATTTAGTTCGAACTTCTTGTCGCCAACACAAAGATTTATCGTCATACTCGAGTCTACTGATTGGTAAGTTTCATAATCTACTAAATTTAGCTTACTTGCATGACAACTAGATGTAGTTGATCTAGACGACATGGCCTTAGATTCATAGATAATCTTATTAGGAATATACTTCTGTAAATTTGTGCCGAATAAAGCCTTTGTATGAAAGAACAATGACTACCTAATAATTGGAGGATAAAAATAAGATATAATAAAACTATAGATAGTCAAAGACATAAGAACTGCAGCTCATTATACGAGCGAGTAAATACTACGTGGCATTTCCGAGAAATTGTTTGCTTCCTTTCCTTTACAGAATTCCAAGAAATTAATAAAATAAAAATAAAAACAAACTTCCTTTATTTTTCACAGCTTATGAATAACCTTTTTTGTAACTTTATGTCTAAGATTTCTAAAATTTTTTTCCAGGATATATAATGGAAGAAAAACACGCAAAGTTTTGGGTAAAAGCCAAAAAACGTGTAGTAAATCTTTTCAATAGATTTATTGTACGCATTGCTGCTCCTGCATATGAAATGTATAGTGGAGCCTTACCAGCCCTTTTAGAAGCGCTACGTGACCTCTACAATGGTGACTGGTATGGGTCATTAATGAATATCATTTTGGGAGCTTTTTATGTTGTCACCGCAAAAATTTGGGGCATTTGTAAAAAAGCTGCAGAGAAAATAAGAGAAGCATTAGGTCTTGAAACAACCAAAGAAGCAACTAAAGAAGCAACTAAAGAAGCGACAAAAAAAAAATGGTCAAAAAACTAGCAAAAATGCCGCTAACGGGATGAGCAAAAGTTATGCAGTTTCCACAGCCAAGTCTGCGTCAAAAGATGCTCAAGAACAAAAAACACAGTCACATGTCACAAAAAACACTCATACCTATGAAATCCGGAAAAACGCATCAATAGGAGACACAATGCAGGGAATCTTCAAGAGGGCTCCTAAAAAAACAATCACGTCTATGAATGCCGATTCCTCCAAAAAAGTTGGTACAAAGTATTTAAATTATTGTAATGAGAACATGATAGGAGCGAAGAATGAAAAGATAATAGTACAAGAACCTTGGACAGAAAGAGTTGAGAGTTTTTTATCCAATCATGAAATAGAAGAATTTCCCTTATCAAAAAAATATTTTCCGTACTCCTCCCTCGGGACAAAGTCGAAAACAGCCCTGTATTTCTCGCAACAACATTCCCTTGTTCATGATCCGTTACCCCCCTCCCTCGGGACAATGTCGGAAACATACGTGTATTCCTCGCAACAACATTCCCTTGTTCATGATCCGTTACCCCTCTCCCTCGGGACAATGTCGGCAACAGACCTGTATTCCTCGAAACAACATTCCTTTGTTCATGATACGTTACCCCTCTCCCTCGGGACAATGTCGGCAACAGACCTGTATTCCTCGAAACAACATTCCTTTGTTCATGGTACGTTACCCCTCTCCCTCGGGACAATGTCGGCAACAGACCTGTATTCCTCGAAACAACATTTCTTTATTCATGGTACGTTACCCCTCTCCCTCGGGACAATGTCGGCAACAGACCTGTATTCCTCGAAACAACATTCCTTTGTTCATGATCCGTTACCCCTCTCCCTCTGGACAATATTGAAAACAGTCCTGTTTTCCTAGAAACAACATTCCCTTGTTCATGATACGTTACCCCTCTCCCTCGGGACAATGTCGGCAACAGACCTGTATTCCTCGAAACAACCTTCCCTTGTTCATGCTTTGAATGGAAATACCATTAACACTACAAATAAAGATTTCTTTTCTTTTTTTGGTTGATCATCTTGTTCGTTATGGTACCACGGTCTTCATAATCCTTCTCAAGTATGGAGATCGACCAAGTTAAGTTAAAAACATGCGTGAAAGCTGTATTGACGAGTTCATGAATGACAAGATGCTCGACCTCACGATGGATCCAATCTTGAAATTGCTTGATTGACATTGACATTTGACATTTATTGTTTTCAATTAATACACTAATATTTACACTTTTACCTGCAAGTAGCTTAATGCTATTCTAGGCAAGTTAAAAGGAAAGACAAACATCTATAATTGCAATAATTACAATATTATGGTGCAAATAAAAACCAAAAAAGAAAAATATTTACAATTAATAGATATGCATGATTAAGTGTTATTTATAATGAATATCGATACGTATTTATAGTTTATAATATATAAAAGACAATTGGATAAGATAAAGTGTGAAACAAACACAATCGGAAGTAGAAGTCGCACGGGGCTTCAAGCCGCATCTTACCAAAATAAAGGGCTAAATGTATAGGGTCTTATTTTTAAATATATAGGGCGAATCAAGGGCACTAGGACACCGAACGTGGTTGGATTTCTATCTTTTTTTTTTTTTGTACCAACAACAACAACGCGACCGCGCGATRCTCCTTACGTCAGTAATATTTAACCGTCCTAGAGTTAATATGGTTAATCAAATTCACCTTAAGTTCAATATAGAGCCCCTATATAGAACTTAAGGTGAATTTGATTAACCATATTAACTCTAGGACGGTTGAATATTACTGACGTAAGGAGCATCGCGCGGTCGCGTTGTTGTTGGTATGGTACAAACAGATTCAAGTACGGAACGACCGTTAAAGAAGTAACGCTCATAGGCTATTCAAACAGTTTGACCTTTGGAAGAAAACGTTTGCATTATGACAGCGAAGGAACACGGACACAAGATAAGTAAACAAGCACACATACGTTTAATTTAATTCAAATAATCGAAAGGAAAAAAAAAAACAACTAGAAATCCAACCACGTTCGGTGTCCTAGTGCCCTTGGGCGTAATCTTCTCTATGAGAAGGTGACCAATAACCAATAGCAAAGATCTGTTCCTCAGACGCCTCCTCATATGCATTAATGCCTGCACTGAAAGCATGATGCACAACATGAATTTGGCAAGGGATAAATGGCATAAGTCCAGGGAGTCCTTCATCTAAGAGTACATTATTGATTGCACTCCAGATGGTTTCGTCGACATTTGTTCCATCTGATGACAAATGTACAGTGTATGTAGAACAAAACGAAGCCAGTACTTTTTCATGTTCAAATATTTCTAACTAATATTTGTTGACTGTCTTAGTTCTTAGTCAGATATATCGAGACATTTTAATATGTTATACATAAACATATACGTTTCGCTATAGATATACTATATTTTATGCGCATTTGTCCATTTTTTTAGAGATTATTATATAACTTTATTATTTATATGTTAAGTGTATTATTAGTTTTGTAGCAATTGCTTTTAAATAGTTTATCAATTTAGTTTCATTTACCTTTGAATACAGTTCGTTAATTCAGTTTTATACTGCTAGAGAACTCAATAAACTATTATTATTATTATTATTATCATCATCATCATCATCATTATTATTACAGTATTAAACCTGAGAGCGGTAGCTAGTGCCGTTTCCTAAATTCTGTCCATTATTTTCCCATTATTTGACCTTCGGCATGATCTCAATTTTCTCTTCTGACCATTACCTTGGGAATTCTGTTTAGTCATCCTGGATACTGTACCCAAAATCTGACTGCGAAATATATATCCTGGCACACCTTTTTTTCTAAAGTGTGGGTCTAATCCTTCAGATATCAATGTAAGACACTTTTGTTCTACTCATTGTAAAGTTATCACATACATCTCCTGGGAGAATTTTCTAGAACAATTGCGGTGCACATCAAAAAGATTATAGAAATTATAGGACATTATAGAACTATATAGGGAAATAGAGGGAAACTTAAAAAATACAGGAAATATAGGAAATGTAGGGACACTTGAAGCCCTGTGAGCAAAGGTTATGATGAGATGCTCAAAAAGGTAGAAATCTTAGAAAAGACAAGCAAGAACCTGATCGATGAGAATAAATTGCTCGAGATGCAAGCTGCTCATCTAACAGATTCCTTGAACAAAGTCAGACTTGATGGCGGAGCACCATACTTAAGAAAAAATGGTRAACCATCGAGTTGATTTTTGATAGCTTGACTACTACGTCACATCCGTCCGTCCGTCTGTACGTCCGTGTACACAACACAGGAATCCCGCTTGAATTAGAAACTTAAATATTTCCTTACCTGAGACTGGATAGCTGGTCTTGTGGCATTCTTGTAAAATACGGCAAAAGTTCAAGTGTTCGACTCTGTAGAGCCAAAAAAAAATACAATCAAAAATTGTTACGATATTAGGCTAATTTGCATAAAACGGACCCTTTCATGGTAAGAAGGGATTTCACTCGAAAGCATTGCTCGGCATCAACCATTACCTTAAAGGCAAGGGTCAGTGATCTGTCAGTCAGGAGTGAGGAGTACATCGAGAAGACTGAGTTGGTTGTAGGTTTTCCTGGCTCCGTTAAAAACTGCAAACAAACAAAC